GAAGATGCAAGGCAAGATGTATGACAGATACTGTATGACATATTACAAACGCGACAAACTATATGACAAACGCAACAGTGACTATAAACATCTTGATAAACGAGAACTGGATGGATTGGTATTGCAGATCAAATTAGCACCATCTAATGTCAGGGAATGAATTTGCATGTTCACTCGCCTCATCGTCAGCGAAAATTGCTTGGGTGTGAACACAAAAAACGCGTTGTAAAACGCTGACGAATAACACGCGCTGATATTCGTCCCGGTGTGTACGGGCCTTAAAGCTGCAGTCTGTAACTTTTTTGTGTTCAAAATTAGCAAAAATTATATAAGCGAGTACATGAATCCATTTTGCAAACTGTGTTTTGGTCTTATCCTGAATCACTACGGTCCACCTTTAATAAGTGTTTATATTCAGACTATTTTAACTGGTTCGAGTCTGGACCGCTACGGAGGAGCACAGGACCTGCGTGTCTCGTCATAGACAAACAGAGAGGAGTAGCTCCTGCTACAATGTTCTTCCGCGAGACGCATGCTGTTATGTTTATTAAAAAGTTATGGACAGCAGCTTTAATAACCTGTTTAACTGCGTTACCTGTTTGCATATGTATATATTTGTATTGTATTGTATTGTATATTGTATGCTATTAATAGCAAAACATGATGCTAAAAATGATCAGCAACAGAGCCAGCTCACTGTTGACCTATTCAGGAAGTAATTGAAGAGAAGGACTGCAAAAACTTGGTATAAAGTTCAACAGTAGTTAGCGTCCAGTCTACTAAAAACTTTTATTGGCTACGTTGTTAAATAGCCAAAATATTACCCAACGAACACCCAAACAGATCAAATGACTCAATTCTTCCAACTACCACAAAACCACACATTTTCTCCATATTGCAGAGAGCTGTCAATAATGCAGATGGACCGTGGTGTACAGTGCAGTGCTATTGACCGATGCGCCATGGGGAGCACGTGTCCCGTCTGCCGTGAAGGCCATTTGGGAGTCAACCCCAACTCTGGCCTTGTCCTGAACCCCTCCTATTCATCACAGGATGGCCAGCAAGCCCCATCAGCTGACCAAATGAGCTCCAACCAAGTGTTTCGGCATCAAACGGAATAGGAGATGCATATGGAGGAATACAATGCACAGATATTGATGATTTTCAATCGAGGTCTCGCAACCTCAACGGCTTCCACCGCCCCTCACCCCCTTCGAATCCACCATAACAGATCGACTAAAAGATTCATGCTCTCAGAATAAAAGGAATTACAAGCGCACATATAGACCTTTCACACAAAATAGATCAATGAGGATCAATGGAAGATGGCACAAGTCAGCAAATTAACAATTCAGCACTGCAATGGAGCACTGCAGATAGCTTTCAATTGTCTACTAAGACAATGTTTACACACACACACACACACATAAATTATAAAACTGGACACAAAGTATATGGGCGTATATGTACGATACCTGGGTCAATGATATGATGCAATATCTTTTTGTCCCATCTATGAAATAATTCAAGAACTACTTGGCTTGCCCTCTAATAGACCACTAAACATTAGTCGACAAAGAGGCTTAGTCTGACAAATTTTAATTAACTGCAGTCAACTGCAGAAAAAACTAAAAAACTCCACAGGAAGTGGCGAATAGCAAAAAATAACTTAAAATGCTTAAAATCATTTCTGGTCATACATATAAGAGTAATACTCCAAATTCCAAACTGTAAAGAGTCTACTTTTATTTGAGCAAACTCACTATAACAAACGAAGTTGTGCGGTTGAAAAATAAAAAAAAAACAGATGTGGTTGCTGCCATCTCAGACTCCGAGAACTGCTTTCTGGAGTAGGTCAAAAAAAAAAAAAAAAAAAAATGAACCGAAACTTCAAAACAACAAATATGTCTATCGAAAGCTTGCAATTTCTACTTTAAAAAAAACTAAATTCAAATCCAAATCAACTTATGAAATGTTACTGTGTTAAACCACTATTCTGCAGAGATGACAAGTCAGCATCAACTTTTACAGCCGACACTGACTCAGAAAACACTAGTTTCATAAATTATTAAAATGTTTAGAAATTCTCCTTGCTGTATTCCCCCCCCCCCCCGACACATTCATAATCATTGCTATATATATATATATATATATATATATATAGTAATAGTAATATATAGTAATTAAATTAACATCGTAAACATGTGATTAGTCGACTATTCGCTTCAATAAACGACTACCAGTCCAGTCAACTAGAAAAATCTTTAGTTGCGAGGCAGCCCTAAACATACATTAAAAATGAATTTCACACAAACAATGGTTTGATTACATCTCCACTGTGAGCTTGTTTTTGGTTTCTGAATTATAATTAAATTTGGATTTTTTTGGGAGAAATAAAGGCAAAAATTAAAGCAAAAAAAAATAAAAAAATAAAGGCAAAATAGAGATACAGCTATCCTGACATCAAAATACAGAATAAAACCGTTTTTAAAAACCTGCTTCAAAGGTTATTAAGATTTAACAAACTTGTTATTAGTTCAGGTTGTAAAAAGTTGTGACTCCTCGAAAATTTGAATAATCATTTACAAAAATTTAAATGTATTTTTTTCTAAATAAATAAAACAAATCAGTAGAAAATGAAAAAAATGTAATTTGATTATAAAATATTTTCATTTTATTTTATAATTAAAATGCAAGGTATATAAAATGCAATATATACAATAGTAAATAAAAATGGTCTCCCATTAGTAAATAGCAAAAAGATGAAAAATCAAATGAAAACTTCATGATAGCAAAAAAAGACTCCAAAGTCATTGTTCTAAAAAAAAAAAAAAACTGCTATAAAGTAACATCACAGCAACTGCCGACGGGTTTGCCGATCATCAGATCTGTCACTCAAACAGATGTAAATTCATCACCTCAAAGCTCCCCGCCCCCTCCAGGTCACGTGACCTGCTGGAAGTGGGAAAAGATGAAAGTCTTCGTATACCATGGGGCAACAGCCCCGATCTGTTCGAGGCTGAGCCTGGAACAGGCTTTAACAGAAGCTTAAGAGATCACAACTGTTACCCGTTTGCCTTCTCCCAGCACTTGGCTGACCCATGGCCACTGCGAAGCAGGACGGACTGATCACACTGATGGGCCTGGTGCATTATGGGAGACTAATTACTGCCAAGAAACACTGTCTCCATGCAGTGGTGAACTCAGATGGTTGTTTTTCAGCCCCAGGCACTTTGGGAGGTGTAGCTACTGGTTAGCCCCCACCCCCCCACCCCCCCAGCCCCCCATCCACAAAAAAAGAGGCAAAAAGACAAAGTGGAGAAAAAACACACTCAGGGGATTGAAGGGATAGAACGGGACTAACAATGTATCTATTTCCACACCGTGCAAGTGTGAATTTGCGCCTGCTTGCGTGTTTATACATCAGTTTTTGGTAGCCAGTGCATCCCACGGGATCGAGCATTGTGTCATTTATGGATTGCTGCTATCCATTCCAGGTGGCCCCAGTCACCAGGTTACAATGAAACCAGAGCCAAAAAATAAAATGCCCACTTTTGAACAGGGATACGAATTTCGCAAGGTCTGATGTTTAAAAGGATAGATCCCCAAAAAATATTAATTATTTCTTATTTACTCATCTTCAAGTCATTTCAAAAGACATACTTTTTCATTGAGCAAAAAAAGAGAATTTCTAAAGAAAATACAGGCCGCTTTTTTTCTAAATAATAAAACCAGTTACCGTCTAAAATAGTCTGAACAAGCAATTTAAGAATCCTATAAAATAGTTTTATATATTTTTATGACTAAAGAAGTACCAGAGGTACACATCAACCTAGAAAGGAGGACCTTGGAATATTGTCTCGTCAAAACGTTTGAGAACCACTGCTATTAAAGCATTTAAATAAAAAATCAATTAATTGTTGATCGAATTCTTGTTGAATTTTAATCTGAATCAAAGTATCAAATTATCAATAATAACTTTTACCTTGAGCATTCTTGATATAATGGTTTAAAGATTCAAAATGACAAAAAAGCACATTAAATTATCATGAAAATGGTTCACACAATTCCAAAGCTTTGCAATCTTCTCAACAGACCAAAATCTCTAGTTATACACTGTAAATCTTAACCATTGTAGCTCTTCTTGGTTCATTTATGGAGGCAAGAAGTAGTGATGTCTAATTCACAAATGAATCATTCTTGTGAGTCAAATCTTTTTTATAAATCCATTGGTCCAATTCACAAAATACATGAATGATTCATTCATAAACAGGCTGATTTGGTTCTCAACTTCAACTGTGAATCATTGATTCAATCATTGCTAAACCTGACTGGAGACCAAGATTATTAACAAATAACTTAAATTTAAGTTTATCATATGACATAAGAAGCCTGAGAATACAGTGAAATGGATGACTTGTGTTATATTTTTATGTTGTTAAGTAAGGATGTTCTTCAAAAATATACCTTTCATGTATTTTCAGAGTGCAATACGGATTTGGAACAAAATGAGGGCAAGTTAATGAGAGAACTTTTATTTTTGGGTGAACTGTCCTTTTAAGGCCCCAAAACACGGTTGACCTCCTTGCAACTTCATCTTCAATTTAGACTAAGGGCTGCAGAGAAAACTGCTGCTCCGAGTCTAATGGATCCTGGTCCGCTGTGTCTTCGAGAAGCGTATGCTATTAAAGCATAATCAAAGCAGGCAGTATCATTTCATCGCAAGAGCGCTGCATGTTATTTAAAACACATGTAAATGTCATTCAAATTTCCTCATCAGCTTGGGAACATACTCCAGGTATCCTACGCAAAGGCCAGTTACCTCAGAGTACAAAACCATATTGTTATTTTCATGACAGACCGCGAGGTGTAGGATTGCGTCTCACAAAAGGAGACGAACGGTGCTGGCAAAAGCTTGAGAAGAGATAGGGAGAGTTAGGGAGGGCTGGGGTGTATAAACGGAGGAAGGGGGAGTGATGGGATGGGTTTCTATACCTTACCTCATAGAGCAGGCAGCCTAGCGACCAGATGTCAGATTTGAAGTTATATCCGTTTTCGTGTATTCGCTCGGGAGACATGTAATATGGGGTGCCCACTGGAACAGAAAAAAAGACAGATAGAGACAGTCAGAGAGAGAGAGAGAGTTAGGCTGTCTGGTTTGCTATGCGAGGAGTTCATCCATGGATGCTTCATTGACAAAGGTTTCAGACTGAGGAGTTTTAGATGACTAAAGAGAGGTTACTAAAAACAAACTCAGCGATGCGTGTGTACAGTGTGGAGGAAAATACATTATAACAGTTTGTACACTACATACGGGTCAGTTTTAAAAGAAATTCATACTTTTATTTCGCAATGAGACCTTTATAATGTTACAAAATAAAATATGTTTTTTTACATTCAATTATTTGTCAAATAATCATGACAAAAATTAATCAGCACAACTGTTTGCTTAACATTGATAATAATAGGAAATGTTTCTTGAGCAGCGAATCGGCACATACCGCATACAGTTCTAAATGGCAATGAAATTAAACAGCATTCAATGTATGATGTTACTTTAACATGAACAAAACCAGTAAAATTTGGGAACAGTAGTAGTTTGATGTTCATATTAGAAGTATAACAACTTTTACAGCCGGAGACTAGCGCTGTAAATGTTCATGGCTGTTTTAAGATTGCAAGTGTGTTTTGGGGAATGAAAATCTCAGCTTACATTCGAGCAGATTTAAAATCTCTCATTCACCTCTCATTATAAAAGAACCTCAATGATTCACAACAGAAGCCATTCAACACGGCCAAATGAAACTTTAATCAATTCACTCGTGGTTTTTTTCTTTCTCCACTCTTGTAAGTTGGATTGTCTTTGAAATTCGATAAACCTCAAACAGCCACTGTACCAAAACAGTCTTCGATGGCTTTACCAGTTCTGCCAAAGGAAAATCGAGGTCCTATCTGATGATTTCACACTGTAGCATGGGGCTCATGCATGACAGCTAACCACCAACGCATACTGGTTTGGTCTTGCCATTTGTATAATGGTCTTGGTCATTTGTATTACCAGTAGAGTGAGTAGGGGGTGGAACTATCCGTTTGCTCAACCAATGGAAGACAGTGGAAATGTTTGGGAAACCTGCCAGAGGTAAACACAAATTACATGCCATGATGTCGCACATGTTGGAAGGCATTGAGAATTGCACCGTGACAGACGGGAGACTGAGCAGAGCGTCAGGTCGCTTAGTCTGTGGCCCTGCAAAGAATTGTGGGTAATTGGCAGTGACTAATAGCCATCAGGCAGAAGAGCGGGACCCAAGAGGCCAGTCAAACTCCCTGCGCTGTACTCCCTGAAGCCGTGACAAGCTCTTTACTGCTCAGTGACTGTGGCCAACCAGCCATCCACCGTGAAAGATTGATGATAGAAAGAGGGGGAGGGGTAAAGAAGAAGAAAAAAAAGAATAGAGTAACAAAAAAAAAACATTCTGACAAATGCTCGCAGTTTATGAAAGTTTAGCCTTGGCACAAACAGCTCAGATCTGACAAACCGCTAAGAAGTCTCAGGTGGCGAGAACAAGAGCCAAAGCGAAACGTCTCGACACCGAACAGCGTCAGAATGTTTGGGAGGGTATTGGGGCTGAGGTTGAAACACTGAAAGTGAAAACGTGGCCCTTCCCTCCCACTGTCTCGCCCATGATGCAACCAGTGTGTCAAACAGACCTACGTTAAAAGCATTTTCTTTTATAAAAGTAGAGTCAAACAGATGGTGAGAGTCGGCCTATGATAAATTCCAAACGGCATCGGTGGGATCTGATTGGTCAATATTATTGATTTCAATCGTCATAAATTTGCATTTATACCTAGGGGTGATTTATGTATTTAAAGATTAACCAAGTAAAACATGATATCAAGCTAATCGAAGTGTAAAAGCATGCACATTTAAATAAGAAAAATCCAACAAACCTCTCATATTGTTTGATAACCAATATGGTAAAAATATATTGTGTTGTGAATTTCTAAATATATCATTGAAGCTGAAGTGAATTTAGAAAAATAGAATTGCAAAAAAAGAAAGATTACAAATGTTTTTAAACCGGTTTCCAAACACTCCACCCATTTGACTGCCACAACAAACAGATATCCCTCAAACGCACGCTATTGGTTGCTATAGTGGGTTACTCTGGATTTTTTATATTATATTTTGGAAAAAAATTGACACTTTATGCGAGAATGAACTTACGATTTGTCATTTTGAAAAGTTATTAAAGCTATTAAACTACTTTACATTTTTTGAGGTGTGAAAAAAAGAATAACCTTGAAACACAACATAGCAATTGACCTTCATCACATGCGTAACTAAAAACAACAACAAAAAAATATTGGTCATCAAATTTGTGCTTTCAAAGGAGTGCATCGACATCCATCATTAAAGACTTGAAAAGGCTCTTCTTTCGTGCTAATAGTTTTATAATAGCCAAGAGCTACAGAGCAACTTCTCAGAGAACACGTCAAATTAAGAGTGCATTACTTAGTCATGCAAATAAATCAAGTCGCATTGGGATTCATTCCCATTATTATGAATTACGACATTACAATGCATGAGAAATGGGCCAAGATTCTTTCTTTGTACGGCAAAACAGAGAGAAGAGATTACCGCAGACTCTCAACGGTACGCTACTTACACAGAAATCCACAAATATGCTTAATTACCAAAAAAAAACAAGTGTAAACGTTGCGAAGTGAGGGATTAAAAGAAAAATCCGCTCGGTCCCGTCAACTCCTCAGACCTATGAGTCAGAACAGAGCTCCCCATCACCTGAAAACCCTCGGATGAGACGCTAATTAACATGCTCTCTGCGTTAACTGCAGAATACGAGGGTTCAGGATTAGCTTGCTTTTCCTTATTTTAATTATCCATTATACCTGTTATTTCTCTCCCAGACTTACTTCCTCTTAAAAAGCCTCCCTTTCAGCTCATTACCCCGCTTAATTTAAAGGCTAGGAAGCCTCAGGAAAAGTATAGATGAGCTATCTTCCTTTCTTTCAGTCTTCCGCTTTGTTTGTATCTGTGGGCTGCAGAGCCACTCGGAGACGGAGTTAAAAGGCTAGGGATCGGCTTCTTAAGAGACGAATTGACAGCCGTGGAACGGCACTTCCCGGACCTCCATCCAACGTGCATCCCAGAGATCTACCGTGGTGGTTTGTCTCATTACAGGCTGAACTGTCAACCCCCAAACCGTACCGAAGCAACCCTGCACCCTCCACCCTAAACCGCCCCCATGCAGGGAGAGAAGCGAAAGAAGGGGGAGCGAGGAGCGAGAGAGAACGGGAAGCTTTGGTCTGCTCGCCCCAGAGGGAGACACAGATCGAAGGTCTCTTTGCCCATGGGTGAATTTAACCTGCCATGTAGACACTCATGAATTTCATACCCTGCTACGGTTCAACCTTCAGCCTTCGAATGGAGAGCCTGAGCCTACGGGACAGGTGACAGAGAACCGCAGGAGTCTCTCTCTCTTTCTCGCGCGCACACACACACACACACACGGGTGCTGTACCTACCTGGGTGTCTATGCACGTTTGTACATTCCGACTGTCAATACTAAAACATCCCGAGAGAAGAATTTCAGGCGCTCGGATAAATAAAGAAGTAGGTAGGGAAGTAGCTAGGTAGATAACTCCACAAAAGACAAGTACAACTGCGGTGGTATCATACACCAATGCATTAACGGTTATAAATCATGTCGGGGTCCTAAAAAAGCCTTGTTAGGGATCCCTAACATGGCAGTGTGTAAATGATATGGTGTGGCACCGGCCCCAGGAGCAGGTGCGAATGGATGATGTGGTCGGTTCCCAGGTGACGCAGGCGCCATTAAGACATGATTAAGGACAGCCCTGATTAAGCCCTTGCCGAGATTGTAGCTCATTCTGAGATGAGGAAGACAAGCATCCTGTAGAGGGCGCTGTGAGTTCAGGTTTTCAGAAGCCATGCGTTTCCTGACTCACCGTGTTGTTTTCAGTGAAGGTGAATGCTGGAGGTATGCAATGCAAGACATGCTGCGAACTTAAGGTTATTTCTAGACACTTGCAAAACATCTTCAGTGTTTTTTTTCTAATTCGTATCAACATCATACTCATCACACTGACATAAAACACCATTTTATACTCCTACACACAGATGCATAGTTTACCTATACATCATGCATTTAGTTTCATTTAGTAGTTTGTGAATACAAGACAATAGTTAAAATCTATTCTGGTGTGCTAATTGTGTTGTTTACTGTAACCTGTCAGCAATAGCCTAATAATTATAAATGCAGAATTAAAATTTAAAAGTCCAACAAGCTTAATTAGATACAAATTATGATAATATTAATACTAAGTACATTTTCTAAATAAAACATGAGTTTGACATGACCGACCAAAACTTACTAGCATAATGCTAAGGCATATCTGACACTTGGATCCCTAGATACGGTTTGAGTTCTTTATTATTTTATAATATTTTGTCTAAAATAAAAAATAAGAACTAAAACCAATTGTTAAGTGTTACAAATTATAATGTACAAGATGAAAAAAATAGAAATTCAATATTGAGATATTTTTTAAAGGTTATATTTAACATTAAGAGTGTAACGATATTCAAACCGAACCAAAAAACCATGATTCGCGTATCGCGATACTCTCATGGCGTACCGAACGCACCCCGATCATCTCTGGCCCAATGTTAAGGTTGACCTCACTTATGTCAAGTGTGTCTTATGTGTTTCGTTGTAGCCAAACCGCCACCGTTTAATCTCAATAAGCTCTGCGTTTTGTTTCCTTCTATATAAGAAACAAAGTGTAATTTTTCAAATTATGCCCATTTTATCACCAAATTGAAATAAATGCCGTTTTGACGCTCTTTAGCGTGGTGTGTGACAGATCACTGTAAAGGCACCTCAGTTTAATCTGCAGAGTGAATGCGATCATCTCTTCCTAATAAACTTGAATGAACATCTGAAGGTATGTTTAAAGATACAGTACAGACAACTTACTGAAACTGATATTATATCTTGTGTAATCGCTCAGTGTTTCAATGGCGGAAAGACATCAGTAAAACAGCTTGTTAACAATATCCCACGTAGCATTACATTTACCTCAGGCAAGTCATTCAGAATCCACAGCTTGTTCTTTTCTCTTTTATATGCACTATATTAGCCTGTATTAATGATATTTTACTTAACCCGTTAGTGATGTCTTGATTATTTAATGCGTTTAAAATATCCGACAGCCAGAGTGTAAATTTTTATATTTCAACTGCGAATTGGAGTAAAAACATATACTAATTACATTTAGAAGTTAATGCAAAAACTGCGTTTTGTGGTCAACATGTTTGCATACAATTAGTTATTTGAGAGTTGATTATTATAAAAAATTAAAATAAATCACGATTGAATTTAGAATAATAGTTTAGCCTCTGTTATTAACCTTTAATATTATAGTAATATGCAAGTAAGGGGCCCCTATATAGTTTACTGCATACAATAAACTTTTAATTATAACTGAATTTATTTTAAGACAGAGTTTGTTCAGTAAACTACTGTTTAATAAAAAGAAAAAGCAATTTTGTTTAGTTTTAACCGTCAAAACCGAGGTACATACCAAACCATTAGTTTTGTGTACCGTTACACCCCTATTTAACAGTGCAATTAAAATCAATGAATAAATAATTGACTCTCAAAACTAGTGTATCCAAAAGCCAAGTGAATCAAAGTGGATAAGACAATAGAAATGTGATTTAAGATATTTTATACTAAAATGTAGCAAAAAGTCAGACCTTGATAGTGAAAAAAAAAACACCTTTTTTAGCAATACCACTGTCTATAAAGCAGAAGACAAGCTGTTAACAAATTTGTATACTCTTGAAATGAGATTTTAAACAACAGGTCATCTGAAATATACGGCGTGTTAAAACCTGCACCACCTCGGGCAACTTCGCCAAAAGTTGCTGTGTCACCATAGGGTGCCCTAGCCTAGCATCGTTAGGGATTGAAGATCCTGAACTCATCCAGACATCATACGTGTGGAGCGCGGACGTGGGGTCGAGGCAACAGGAAAGGCCAAACTGCTCAATGAAATGGATACAGCCACTGGCACGCTTTGCTCTCAACTGGCCCCAGGGGCCGTCGGAAAGGCGCTTTTTTATAAGACACATGGTTCTGCTAGCAGTCAGCCCTAATGAAACGCATCCGGGACCTACTGAGTAATTAAAGTTCCTTTCTGATGCATTCAAGTTTCAAGGATGCATCCTCGTTTTTCCATTTTCCAAAAAGGACATAATGAAACAGACAAGGTGGTTGTAGGGAGGAGCACTTACCTAGAGAATGAGCTGCGGTTGTTTTGGAACTGAAGAAGCGTCCCAGGCCCAGATCGCCCAGTTTTACCACCCCAGTGGCTGTGATGAAGACATTAGCTGGTTTAATGTCTGTGGAGGGAGTAAATGTGAGTTTTAGTGACTGACCATCATTAATCTGTAACCTTTTTTTACAATTTCTGCACTTTTAAATATGGCAAAATGAATTGAGCCGGAAGCACTGTACTCTGATAGGAGGTTGAAAAAATGACAATATTTTTAGAAACAATTTATGTTTAGTTCCCCCTCTTCTGTGCTATACCAAACCGTGACGTCAAAACTGAGGTACATACCGAACTGCCAGTTTTGTGTACCGTAACGCCCCAATTTGGCTCAAATTACAAGATTATGTTTTCATTTTCTTAATAAAACATTTCATAAGATCATAATTGATCTTTCCTGAGTAGCTCTGATCTTATGTAACCAAACGGGTGAATTTTTTCCCCCTTAATTTTCATTTTTGCGATGTATTTTAATATTTGTAGTGTTATTTTACACTATATAAATATAATAAAATAACAACAACCCAGGGTCCATTGACCAATACTATATAAAAATATTATATAATTATTTGTATTTAAAAAAAAATATTTTTAGAAAATACATTACCATACTAATTTATATTTCTCTATTCCATTTAATTTTTCCAGAATTTGCAACAAGGTAGAAGTGATACAAATTTAAAGTAAATCAATAATAATCTCACAGCTAGATAACATGATCTCTTCAAATCAGCAAATCAATGTGCAACGACAAAGTAAAACATTACAGATAAGCAAACATTTAGGTTTTCAAGGCATAAAAATGGATGATCAATAATAATAAAACTTTCAGTAGCAACACAGCACTTTTTCCACCAACTCCTTATTTACGAGTCCTAAACTGCAAGTGTGAAAACAAGCATTCAAATTCTGCTAAAAATCTGCAAACCATCAGCAGGGACCTGTTGATCCTGTTAATGTTAAACAGAGTCACACCAGTCAGACAGAAGAAACATTTCATTCAGATCCACAAAGCAAACAAAAACGGCCTATATAAATGTTAGGAAAAGTTTAAGAAAGGTTACAATTAGTCTCATCTTGGCTCAAATGACTTTCAAAGACACCGGCCGGGACACGGCGGCGCAGGAACCATGTGCTCGTGTTTGATGTCAGACACCTCTGGACATGAACTTTTCCAACAGTAACAAATCCAACATTAACCATTTTCCATCATTCATACAGGCCAGGTGCTTAAGAACAAGATCTGAACTGACTGCCAGCGCTGTGAAATATCCCACCGCAGGAGTTTACAATCAACAAGGGAAAGGATCTGAATGCAAACCCATGGCCTGCTGTAACCTTTACCGAAAACATACACTCACACGAGTCTCGTATGTTACAATACTTCGACAAGTGTTGCATAAATACATGGGAACTGGGGAAGACAGTCTCAGGTCGCTATGGACGCTTGCGTCATCTTGCTTGTTTTCAAATGGCAAAAGGATGATGCAATGCGCTCGGCAGTGTGTCTGGTCAAGCTTGTGCATAGCAAAGACCTTAGAGTCTCGTCTCAGAGCTGATGAGAAGCAGATGAGAAGGTTTTTTTTCACAATATGCAATAAAACACAAGGATGATGTAGTGTGGTGTCAATGATGCCCCAATTAGTGATATATCATTATGTTCGACTAGTCATCCAACAACTGAATGTTTGATTAGAAGTATTTCTGTAGTTTTCAGTGTCACTCTGTCTAGCAACACAAGGATGCATCTTATGGGAATTCAACCTTAAGGAATCTGTATGATTGGGTTCAGATGAACATAAAATAAGTCTAATTAAAGAGAGTTCCTTAAAGTAACCATGAAACCGGTCACTCACAAGATCACAGCAATAGCAAATACTCAGTTTCCCGATGGACAAAATCAAGTCCCGTCCAACATTTTTTCTTGTTTGAGAAGCTATTTCACTCGGATATACGTCACAGTAGGGAAAGAGTATCGCAACATCTGTTTCATGCAGACTTTAATTTGATAAGTCAACTTGTTATTCAGACAACCCAATGACTAGTCAACATTATTTTGCTTCTCCACAAGCGCATTGACTTATTTATGTATCAAAATCTATCAAGTTTTTAGCAACTTTATCAAATCAGTCCTTCCTGATTAACATCAGTGTGAGTTTGTGGCAGTCAGCCAATTATAACACAATCATTTACATAGATAGTTCTTAAAGGTACAGAAGCAACTCTCATATATACTGTTGTTCAGCGGATTTTTTGTGGGCAAAAATCAAAAAGTAATCTTAATAGGCATCCACGCAATCTCAAAAATCTGAAAGATTTTCCTATGCATATTTCGCAGTGGGTTCATGTCGGTCAGTCAAATTTGTGTGTTTCAACATACGTAGCTGCACACTTGACAATAGAAAAAAGAAGACACAAAATTAAAAGGTAGAGAATACAATCAAATGTCACAGAAATGTAGAATATGTGCTGCCCTTAAAAGTCTGTGTCTTTGTGTTCATGTCACTGGATTTGTGTGTACCTCTGTGCATGACGCGGCGGGAGTGCATGTGCTCCAGTGCACTACACAGCTGAACAAAGTACTTCCATACTGTCTTCTCGGGAATCAGCCGTTTTTGTTTCTTGAAATGCTGCAGGCAATAAACAAACAAATAAATAAATAACTATGTTGGCGGCACAGGCTTTTCATAGACGCATGCAATCTTCGTTAAGCCAGAACATCAACAATTTACTTTATATCTTTAGCAGGCAAACAGCTCAACTGACTATTTGGAGCCTACAGTTTTTAAGGATATTAAGGGTCTTAAGATGAAAATGTGTTCCAAAAGCTCAGCATGGAGTCCTGGTAGGTTTAAAGCAGTGACCATGGATGTGAAGGGCTCTGGGTTTGCCTATAATCTGATGCAGGCTCTAGATTGAAACCCCTCAATAAACTTTCCTTCCCTTTTCATTTGAAGTAACAGCAATGGAAAACATCTGAAGTTTGTGAGTACAGCAGGAGGCTCATGGGGAAACAAACATTTGGGGAGACTTTCAAGATGCACACATGCTTAGGATGATTACGGCATACAAGCGGTGAAAAACATCTCAATGAATCTGACAGAGGGCAATTAGATAATGCCAGGATAATCTCTATATTATGGATGCAAAATATATTTTGAACATTTGTTTGCTGATATTTCTGATTTTATCGGTCGATACTGAATATTAATTAGTCAAAATTGTATGTTTAACTAAGGATGCTCAAGACGAGTTTGCTGTATTTCAAGCACTAGCTTAAAGAGACAGTAGTTTAAACTTAAAGTTTATGGTATATGCATTTAAGAGGACTATTTCTTGAAAGGAGTCTTTTACTCTCACCAAGGCTGCGTTTATTTGATCAAAAATACAGTAAACAGTAATATTGCAAAATATATATTATTACAATTTAAAACAACTTTTTCTGATTTAAAATTGTTTTTAAATGCCATTTATTTCTGTGATGGCAAAGCTGTATTTTTAGCATCATTACTCCAGTCTTCAGTGTCGCATGATCCTTCAGAAATCATTCTAGCATAATGCTTTGGTCAAGAAACATTTATTATTATTATTAATTTTGAAAATCGTTGAGCTGCTTAATATTTTTGTGGAAACAGTGATGCATTTTTTCGGGATTATTTGAGGAATGTAAAGTTCAAAAGAACATCATTTCTTCTATATAAAAATCTTTCGTAACATGTCTACAGTTTTGGTAACCATGTCGTTTGGTAACCGGTCACAGCATACAGTCTTGCATACGTACAGCAAAGGTATCATGAACTAAACATGCAATATAAATCAAATTTGACAGTTTATTCGGTAATAAGACAATCAGTGTTGTAGTCGAGTCACCAACTGTCGAGTCTGAGTCGAGTCTCGAGTCCTAGTGTTCGAGTCCGACTCGAAGTCCGAGTCACCAAAGAAGAGTCCGAGTCGAGTCCAAGTCGAGACACCATTACCTGAGTTCAAGTCCAAGTCGAGTCTCGAGTCCTAGTGTTCGAGTCCGATTCGAAGTCCGAGTCACCAAAGAAGAGTCCGAGTCGAGTCCAAGTCGAGTCACCATTACCTGAGTTCAAGTTCGAGTCAAGTCTCGAGTCCTAGTGTTCGAGTCCGAGTCCAAGTCCGAGTCACCAAAGAAGAGTCCGAGACGAGTCCAAGTCGAGTCACCATTACCTGAGTTCAAGTTCGAGTCAAGTCTCGAGTCCTAGAGTTCGAGTCCGAGTCACCAAAGAAGAGTTCGAGTCCGAGTCACCAAAGAAGAGTCCGAGTCGAGTCACCATTACCCGAGTTCAAGTCCGAGTCAAGTCTCGAGTCCTAGTGTTCGAGTCCAAGTCCAAGTCCGAGTCACCAAAGAAGAGTCCGAGTCGAGTCCAAGTCGAGTCACCATTGCCCGAGTTCAAGTTCGAGTCAAGTCTCAAGTCCTAGTGTTTGAGTCCGAGTCCAAGTCCGAGTCACCAAAGAAGAGTCCGAGTCGAGTCGCCATTGCCCGAGTTCAAGTTCGAGTCAAGTCTCGAGTCCTAGTGTTCGAGTCCGAGTCCAAGTCCGAGTCACCAAAGAAGAGTCCGAGTCGAGTCCAAGTCGAGTCACCATTGCCCGAGTTCAAGTTCGAGTCAAGTCTCAAGTCCTAGTGTTTGAGTCCGAGTCCAAGTCCGAGTCACCAAAGAAGAGTCCGAGTCGAGTCCAAGTCGAGTCACCATTGCCCGAGTTCAAGTTCGAGTCAAGTCTCAAGTCCTAGTGTTTGAGTCCGAGTCCAAGTCCGAGTCACCAAAGAAGAGTCCGAGTCGAGTCACCATTGCCCGAGTTCAAGTTCGAGTCAAGTCTCGAGTCCTAGTGTTCGAGTCCGAGTCCAAGTCCGAGTCACCAAAGAAGAGTCCGAGTCACCATTACCTGAGTTCAAGTTCGAGTCAATTCTCGAGTCCTAGTGTTCGAGTCCGACTCCAAGTCCGAGTCACCAAAGAAGAGTCCGAGTCGAGTCCAAGTCGAGTCACCATTACCCGAGTTCAAGTTCGAGTCAAGTCTCGAGTCCTAGTGTTCGAGTCCGAGTCCAAGTCCGAGTCACCAAAGAAGAGTCCGAGACGAGTCCGAGTTGAGTCACCATTACCTGAGTTCAAGTCCAAGTTGATTCTCGAGTCCTAGTGTTCGCGTCCGACTCCAAGTCCGAGTCACCAAAGAAGAGTCCGAGTCGACTCCAAGTCGAGTCGAATTTTGATTTATGTTCCAATTAATTATCACATTAGCTTACATGTGCACAAGCAATGCTTCCGTCACTTGTTTCTGCATCTTCTTTCCTGTGTTTTGATCCAGAGATTCTGTACTCTTTCAGTAGAGAAGTTAGTTGTACGCCGCTTCGGCACAGCTCAGCACAGCCTCTCGTACCTTATTGGTTACTCAAAACAATATTCAACGCAAATTGCGATAATTGTAATTAATAAATCGCAATTACAATTTCGAGGGAATAATCTACAATAATGATATTGGTCATAATCGAGCAGCCCTAATCCAACTATACTTTTTGAAATCAAACTGAATATTTGATCTCTTAAACACAGATTTCAAGGGTGTTTGGTATTGGTTTGACCAATTCCACATCAAAGTGCTACGTTTGTTTTAATAAAAAAAAAGTTTAAGCCTCGTTGTCAATTCTAAATAGTACTTAATAAAACCAATATCTATTAATCCTCCTAAAACAGTGTGATACAGCATCAAATGATATCCCATTAGAGTTCTGCAAAGACTCAAAGCTTTTAGTACGGTGTCATCCAGTGCGGTCGGTTTAGTCTGGATGAGGTCTGCGAGTGCATGACCTTGCTTCAAAGCAGAAACCAATATGACATTATGCTATTAATTAAGACAGAATGAAGCTTGCTTAGCCAAAATGGCTCGGTAATTATGACCTTTTCACATGCAGTCTCAATAATTGAGACACCGGCAAAGAAGTAAACCTGCTTGTCGAGGCAGTTAAAAGAGGTCGGGAATTGATTAACGGAACAAAACAGAGGTTATTTTAGCGCGACATATTACTTCATTGTGCGAATGCTCACTCCGCCTATTTTGAGCCTCGTCCGCACTTGTACCGCTTCACAGAAATGATCAGAAAGGCGGTGAGCGAGCGGGCTCGAGCCCCAGAAAACCTTGGCCCACATCCAAACAAAGCCGGTGGATCTATTCTTCCCCTGCCTTTCTATTTGCATATCAGAGGGCTGTTTGATGTCAATGAGGGAGTGCGGCAGCCCCCTCTGTGCCTTTAAAAAGCAAACACGGCACATGCAATATTCTGTAAGTGCATGCAAATGAAGGGGCCATTTGATTTCATTTGAATTCCGAGATGGACAGAGAGCATCGAGGAGGGGGCTGAGATGAAAAAAAAAAAAAAATCAAAAAGAATGAAAAAACAAGTAAAATTTATGCATTCGGACCCTCTGTTTTACATTTGGCTCAATGTTTGGTCGTACAATGCTGGGGGATTTAGCCCCGCTATACACCTTCGGAGTGACATTGTTTAATAAAAAAATAAAATTAATTAAAGCGCTGCTGAGCAGACGGGCTGAGAAATCCAGCGGCGCAGTGGAGCAGACCGAAGTAGCTGACGGTCAGGATATTTGCACAAGCGTGCGTTATGATGCATATGTCGAAGGCGTCTTCATACTAATCCGACCTGTTCCTCATTTACCGACGCAATCCTTCTGCAAACGCTTTGTTTGCGCCGGGAATGATTTATGCGGGTGGAGATTTGGCAGCGAAGGGTTTTACATGCAGACCATTAAATGTGGAGCATCAGGTTGTAGATGTGAGTTGCAGGGGTTGTCAGGAGGAAACGGGAAGGCTGAGCGAATTGAACGTGAGGAAGCTACATGATTCTAATAAACAATACGATTCTTATAACAGAACCAAAGGCATCCCGAAAACGTGGTTGTAGTGCAGATCATTTTACCTTCTTTCAGGCAGCCGGGGTGGTGGGAATACTCTGGGGGGGCACGAGGGAGAAACTGCTGACAAATCGGCATGTGTCCTTACCTTTATCATTTGTGAGAGGTCCCCAGCGTCTGCAAGTTCCAGCACTATATTTAGCTCGTTCTCTTCAATGAATGACGCGTGGTATTTAATTACATTGGGGTGGTTCAATTGCTGTGGAGAGAAGGGACAGAGGAAAAAGACAGTGTGTCAGTGACTGTTTAAATATTAACAAGACTCTGTGGGTCAGGAAAGCCTGCAAACATGAAGGCGGCAGAAACCACAGAAGATGCTTGTATGAAGGTAAAAGTGACATTATCGTCTAGTGTTTTAGGTACACTGGTGTCTTCAAAACCAAACGACTTGAATGGAACACAAATAACAATAATGGAACAACCAGAATTATAAAAAATGATGTCAGTCAAATAATTTGTGCATGTATATTTATAAACAAATATTAGTTTGAGTGAGATGTGTAGAAAAAATGTATACAATGGTTAAAGTTTAATAGTAAATAAATATAATTATACTGACATGAAATTATTAAGATGTGTGTGTGTGTGTATATGTAATGAATATATAAATAAATACAACAGTAATAATATAAATAAAAAGAGAAAGAGAGACTTTTTAAAAAGTATAATTAAGTACAATAAAATTATTTAGGTAATATTATATTAAATATTTTACATGTACATACATACATATTATTATTATTAGTGATTGTATTATTACTATGCATAAACTTTGTAACTAGATATTTACATTGTTTTAAGATTTTCTGAAGATAATGCAAGTTGCCTTAAGTTCTGAATGGTTGCTTAACTAAAGCTTCTGGGTAGTCTTTGGGTGGTCCAAAGTAAAAATGCCCACCCTCAAGTCTCTACATATGGCTCGGGTCCCTCCCTTAATGCGAGTAAGGGATTTTTCCAGCATTTTATCATCAACCAGGTGAAAATGGTTTAAGGTTTAAGACTACATGCTTTAAGGTATCATTCACTTTAAGTTTAATACTAAGGGCGATAGGTTTGCTCACATCCTTTAAGTATGAGCTATAGTAAAACCGATGCTAGCCTTAGCAAACAAGGCAAATAAACAGAAGAAAACAAACGTATTGAATCCTATGGCTGATGTTAACATTAGAGGCCAGACAGCAACCGTGCATGGCAGAATCGCATGATCCCCCTAGCCCAAGCCTTCAGCTTTTCCTTGTTTCCTGTTGGTTGGTCAATGAGTAGAAGAGTTGCAATCGGTTCGGAGCGTTGAAGATGACTGGGGGTGGAAAATAAAAGGAAACAAGTGCATCAATGAGAAGCGAGACAGGCAAAGGCCCTCGCGAACGGGAGGGTGTCGGGCCCCCGCAACGCGCTGTGACACAGCAGAGGGGGTTTATTAAAGAAATGTTCATGCCCCGCGCTGATATAGGGGAGGACGTGTGCGCCTCTGTCGCCATCCTGTGACTTTCGTTAGATGTATTTTTGGATCACACAGCTGCAGCGAGTGCAGCCGGCGGTGTCATCCCCATTCTTGCTTCCCCTTAGCTGGCACATCCAATGTGGCGGACATGAAACGCAGCACGATGTTGACTTTAATCAGGTTAAACGCTTTAATTTCACTCTCGTTTTCCATTGGGAACAATATTAAGCCAACCCTCTGTTTACGACGAGGCAGATTACAGTGACAATTATATTATGCCAACTCACACACTGCGAGCCGTTTCGCAATCCCAGTGATTCCTCATGAGTCAGAATGTTCATACTGTATAAATGAGGGTTTGTGCTTCAAATTGGCTACGGTATCGATCCACTACAGGAAACCAAGTGAGGGTGATTACGAAATGGGAAACGATACGATACCGAAGTATGTCAGAATCACTTGCAGATTTCTGTCGGCGGGGGAAAAAAACATGTAGAAAGCAAAACAATTTCCGCATAACAGCGTAATTTCGTTTACAATGTGAAACGGGAGGGTCTAAAAAGTGACAGAAAAACAAATAGACAGATACATCTGGGAGGGGCTGCTCACGCCGGTCTCCCTCATTATTTTGATTTGCGACTCTTTCGTGTTTTCCCCCAGCTTTGTCCACTGAGGTAGAAGGCACGAGTCTGCGTTCCGCGCAAACGGCTTATTAGCGGCTTGAGGTGAGCTGGTTATAACGACTGAATTCATTAGCAGCGGAGTAGAAACGAAAAAAAGGGGCGAATGAGAGACAGGAAGAGGAGGAGGAACATGATAGGAAGACCAGGAACGAGGCCAGTGTTGCGGCAGCCTCTGACCCCGGCGCATTCGGTTGGCAAAGTGTTGTTAAGGAGCGTAACGGTGACCTCTGTCACCTTCGCCAGCTACATGACCTCTTCACCCGCCACCTCCCTTGGGAATGGAGGCATCTCAGGGGCTTCTTTCTACCCAGTTCTTCCATATTGATTTTATCGCTGGAGGTTGCCAGGTCACTGTACTTTCAGTTGCGACAAAAATCACTGATATTCCAAGTATGTGGGTAAAGACAAACCCTTTTTTATAAAGCCTTCGGGTCACTTGTGCGAACAGCCCTTTTGTCTGATTATTACTATACAAAAGAGCAAGAATATAAAAAGGCAGCAGGGCGAAAAAGGAAGCTATTATGCTGTTTCAAGGAAGATGCATACAGATGGAGATTTGGCAATGGACGGCAATCGGAGCTGAAGCAATTAATATGACAACACAGAGAATTGTGTGTGTGTGTGTGAGTGTTAAGGGAAGGCTTATCCGACAACTGCTACAAAAACACAACAGAGAAGAGAGATGCCAGACACCTCAGATCAGCTAGACGTCAGCTCTTATTGGTGTTGTCATTAACTTTCGTTAGTGCTTATGCTACCGTGAGCTGCAGCCTGTTAAAGGTGGTTTGATGAACGACAAACGATTTACAAAGAAAGAAGATATTAAGAAACATCAAAAGATTCATGGGAGAATGTGCTAAATTTCCTTTATGTTGCAGTGTTATCTTCATCCTCAATATAACTAGTGATTGATAATATAATGTAAAAACATTTAAATTAAATACCATTTAATTTGATCACATCCATGGCTTTGTGGCCAATCAAACTGTTATCAGGGCATGTAAAAATCTTAAATAAATAAATAAAATAGATAAAAGTGAAAAATTGCTAGTCAGAAAAAAAAAAAATGCCCCGCAGAACAAGATAAAATCTGTATTTTGTGGCACTGCAAAGAAAAAAAAAAAAGAAAAAGTGTCAATCTTGGCCTGGAGGAACGACACAAAGAGGACCGTGTTTTGCACTTGCCTAAACAGAAAGAGAGAGGAGAACGAGGAAGAGGGAGAGACGGATAGAAAGAGCTGAAGGTCTAATCCAGATCAATTGTTTTCTGTGTCTGAATCTCTCTCTCGCTCCGTGTTTCTCTGGTATCGGGTCTCGGCAGAGGCACCTTTTGAGATCCTAATAGCGGCACATGGTGTCGGTCTCTCTTTTCTCTGGTTTCTTACCTTCAGGAGATCTATTTCTTTGATGCAATCTTGCCGAGCTTTGGCATCCATCAAGTCGAATATCTATCAAAAGATCAAACGGGAGAGAGAAAGAGGAAGGAGAAAGTGTTATGGCATAAAAAGATGGAAAAAGAAAAAAACAAGTAAAAAAAGAAAAATGTTACTGGTACAGGGTGGTAGGGCAAGGAGGAGGGGGTACGTCACACTGAAAAGGACCCCCAAACTTTTGCCCCACCACATCTACACGCCTCCTGCTTCAAGCATACCCCTTCTCATACATTCACCTGTGTTTATGGTCTAGAGAACTGTTAAGAAGATGGGAGTTCGTTTTTAGTTCATCCAATTTTTATTATATGTTTCTTTAAAATACTGGTCAGGTACAGCACTTGGCAGTCAAATATTTAGGGCCCGAACACTGATGGTGTGAGGACCCTCTTGGAATCGCTCTCTTTATTTTGTATAATAACCGCTATACGGCTTATTTGTCATAATCACTTCATATTTTCTTTATTCTTGAAACGCAAATTAAAAGATAAATCAATTTCATGTATTTATTTAACTATAAATTTAATATCAATATTTTAAATATAAATAATATTGTTTTTTCTTAAATATACATGCGTGTGTGTGTGTGTGTGTATATACACACACACACACACACACACACACACGCATGTATATTTAAGAAAAAAACTATATTATTTATATATAAAATATTGATATTTATATATATTTATATCTAAATCTATGTACAGTATGTACATGAAAATATTTCTTAAATATATACAAGCGTGTGTGTATTTATATATATAAAATAACTATACACAGTGCACCCACATATAATATGTAAACACAAACTTTTATTTTTGGATGCGATTAATCGTTTGACAGCCCTAGTTTTTATCTTTTAAGCAAATGTATTTTCATTTCATTTCATTTATTTATTTATTTCAACAGGGACAATGTGCAAAAAAACATTAATTAAAGATGCTTTGCACCAGATTTAGCTTAAGCTAGTTTCCATCTGTAGTCCCCGAGCAGGTGAATTACAATACAAAATATACAATATAAAATATTCATTCATTAGTATTAATTACTATATTTGTCATATATATATATATATATATATATATATATATATATATATATATATATATATTATTTATATATAAATAATGCATTTATATATATTTTATTTAATATATATATATATATATATATATATAGTTGTTAGTTAATACATTAGTTCTATTAACTAATTTATTTATTAGTATTAATTCATATATATTTTTATTCGTATTTAATTCTCGTAATTTATATTTAATTACCTACTAATGTATTTATCTTTAAATATTTGTATTAAATTTAATACTTTTGTTTATTTACAATTAATATTTTAAATATTTAGTTTTTATTGATTTAAATAAAAAAATTAAAACACCATCCTAATAACACAGTTTATTTTTGCGATAATAATAACCAGCTGACTGTACATTCCATTTCAGTGCGCTACTTTTACTGTTTTTCTATGTAAAGTCTTTTGCAGCATCTCGTACGAGCGCCGCGTTTTTAAGGCACCACTCATCAATGTCAAAAACAGTGGACCAATCAGAAGACCCCGGAGACAGGGCAAGCGTTTGTTTAAAGTAGCAAGTTGGCATGATAACTGTTTTATTTCTCTTATTTCCATCTCAAAAAGACATCTCGATCTGCGCTTTTTTTAACCATTCCTGAGCGTTTTTAGACGCAAAGATGCGTTCTATGTGAACGGCCCCTAACTTATTCCAAAACAGCTAAAACAATCTTGTTTTACAAAATCAAAAGCTGATAATCCTGAAAGTATGTTAGATGCATCTGTTAAAAAACTGTTTTGATCATGTCTGTCCTGATTATGATAAATAGGGCTGGGTATCGATTCACATTTCAATTTCGATTCGATTTCGATTCACAAGCTCTCAGTTCGATTCGATTTCGATTCTCGATTCAATTTTCGATTTCGATTCCTGATTTGATTCTCGATTCGACTATAATGAAGATGTAATACAAATCCTATATTTATAAAAAAGAACAGTGGACATAAGTTTACTAGTGGTTAATTGGCTTTATGCACAGCAGCACTACTTCCTGAACTTAAGCCAGCTCCTTTGTTTCCTGTCTGGCATTATTGGACAAATTGATTGATTCAGGTGTGCCTGACCTCAGTAGTCAATAAAAATGATAAACGTTAGTTACGATCATAGGTTACGATGCAATGCTGGCCCGATTGTTAAGTGAATATTCCGTCATGTCACGGAAAATGTTGCCCATAGTGGACTTCCACCCTGAACCACATGCAAAAATCAGAGGTTTATTGAAGTTTGCAGTGCAATATGTAAGAAATATTACGTTTCTGCAGCTCTAAATGTGTTTTAAAGAAAGCTTGAATTGTTAAGTCAATATACATCTATTATTGTATTGCATGGATGAACAGAACTGCATTATGGGATATATTCACCAAATTAAGTGTGTTACTACTACCTGTCATTTTATAATGGCATATACAAAAATACCAATTCTTTCTCAGCTCATCATTAGCATTAATAAAGTCAGTGGTAGTGAGGGAGACGACCACTGTGGTGGAGGAGCTGTGTGTGTGTGTGTGTGTGTTAGCAAAGCAGAAGCGATGGTATCCGGGCACCGCTCTTTTTAATCTACAGCTTGCCAATTATTTCTTCCAGCACGTCTGCTTTGCACATCCACAGGAAACTGTGTTTTGAGCTGGCTGTGTCTGTGAATGTGTTTATGGCAAGAAAAGAAACACATTCAATCGTGATTATCAGTGTAAGAGCCAATCAGATGCCTGCTTCTATTCCAATGCACAGACGTTTTTTATGCAAGGATGTTTTGGTGCTTTCCAATTGTTCAACCCAATACCGTTTTTAGCTCGTTTGTTTTTGTTGTGCAAAATTCACAACTCAATGTTAAAACAAACACTGATTCGCTTAGCCAATGGCTTTGGATTAAAGTCGTTTCATTTGGAATTATGCTTTGTAAAAAAAAAGTACGTTTTAAGTATTTGTATTTCACTTCAGAAGAACAAATCTTGTTCATCAAGATACATGGACTGCAAACAACTCTGGAAGGTTTAGATTCACGCTTCATCGTTTACTATGACTGGACGGCATACCTATTATTTTAATCGGTTTATTTGCAATTATTTTGTTGCATACACTTAACCCTCAGGTGCTGTTTGGTCATTTTAAACCCTAAATATTTTGAGGGTTTTGGGATGGTATGGAACTTGGTAAAGGTTTTGGAAATTGGTGTGGACAGGACAGGATTGAAAAAGGTAAAATGGTCCTAAAAAAAAAGTCACACCTTTACTGCTGGCGGGCAAAAATAACAGCATTAGAAATGAATGGGAGACGAAGTTCACCTAGTGAAAACCTTTGGTACTGCGCCCAAACAAATTCTTATTGAAAGCTAATTTTTTTGAGATATCAACCTCAAATTTGGAACACAGCTTGTTTAGATTTATGCCTTTGATTTTCTCAGTTTGAGAATAAAATGTGCTTTGGAAAATATATATTTCCTATAAAAGTTTTCGTTTCGGTATATCGATTTTTAAAATGTCAATAAACTGACAATTATCGTCTTTAAAAAGCGACCGAACTGAAGTCTGTGCTGCAAAGCTTACAAGATTTGTGACCGCTAAAGTAGGACATTATATTTTCAAGCCTATGCTCAAAAAGTGAATAAATGGATTATAACTACTAAATAAATATAATTTAGTACTATGAAATTTAAAAATAAAAAAAAAATAAAAAACATTATTCAACTAAAATATAGTACAATAATTTCCTTGAATTTTTTTTTTTAATAAAATACATAAATCAGTCATTTTTGACCGACATGTGAATAGTACCGGAGAGTTAAACAACAGTTAATGTCGCAACAGAATATTGACAATATAGTTTTTCGCAAGACTTATTTACACTTAACATTATTCATTTGTAAACAAAATTGGTACAATATGAAGTCAATATAATGTAAATATAAAATCCGAATAATTATATTTAATAATGTAAACTTAAATAAAATAGAACATTTCACAATGTTAAATGTCTTAACGGACATTTTAAGGTTATTTCAAGCCATATCAGAGCAATATTAGGAGATGCTGTAAAATGGATGAAACACCTACAGTATATAATAAATATAACAATGTATTTTGATCAAAATACCTAATATATTTAGCTATAATGCCAGGCCTATAATTTAACAAATTAAAACATACAATAAAAACCTAATAGCTTAAATTAATGGATGTAGAATATATATGTGCCGCTTTATGAGTACTGATAAACAGGAAATATCCTAGTAATAACATGCATGTTAATAAGCAACTAGAATAGTGAGAATTGGACTTTTTTAAGGGCATAAAGACATTACATGACAAAAGGAAGTTCTTACCTGCACTTTTTTCAAAGCTACTGGAGTATGGTCGTGCCTGTACGTAGCTCGATAAACCTCGCTGAACTGTCCCCTTCCGATCTTCTTTATAATGGCAAAATTGGCTAAATTGTTATAGCCCATATCCTGTTGGATTTTCTGGAAATGAAGCACAAGATTATAAGTACATTTCAAGAAAGAGAAATGAACATCAGACAGCTTTTGTTTTGCGCTTTTCCAATCGTCTTGACAAAACAAACATGTCCCCACAGATCGGCCATTGCTAGCCAAACTCGGTGATTGTTTTTGTTTATATGCCAAGAGATGTAAGAAAACTCTCGAGGGCATCGGGGATCGGTGTCATTAGGGCGATATGTCAGGGCAAGAGAGTGTGGGAACGAATCAACATTAACCATCCACGTTGAATCCAAAACGCCGTACGAATCTTTGCCGTATACTGTCTGGACAAATCAGCCGAGTGGTGACATCCCCACTTCTGAAGTGACTTATGCTGGACCAGTTAGTGACAAACGGCCCCGAGTGCTCTTCCCAAGATTTCGTGCGGCGCCTTGACACTTGTGCTCTAAAATTAAAAATCTAAACAAAACCCAGAATTAGCCCCTCGGAGATGGCGTGAGCAAATAAATAAACTAATTAATTAACACTCTGACCTTTAGAGGCTTTTCGAGTGCAAACTTCAATCCCGCAAACGTTCTGGCTACTGGAGGTGACAGATAGTGGAACGCATTGTCATGTCATGGCGAACTACCCAAAGTTGGCCATAAGATGGCCTTGAAGGCAAATTATATTGTGAAGATGGCAACGGTAGGGGAAGGATGACACAATTGTAGTCTTGTAAACAAATGAAATGTCTTTTATTTATAGTCTTGGCATGCATTTTCATATTATGGTTCCAAGTTAAGCTTCCTGAAACGTTCATCCATTAAGATATTCAGTCATGCCAACAAATGACAGCTCAATGTGAACGGCATCAGTGTCTTTCTTACAATACAAGAATACTTGGACGATCTGTCAAATCCATCAACATTATTGTGTAAAACTGTCTGATATATATATATATAACAGGTTGAACTGAAATAAATGAGTTGGAGGAAGCACTGCAACTTGACTAGATGCCGGAGGGGTGGATGTAGATCAAGGGGCGACCAATTTAAGAATTTCATTGTTTTCTAACTTGACAGCTTTAAGGGGGGGAAAAAAAGGTGTGAGCCAAAGAATTGCCCCATCCAATTAACACACTGAGGTAGCTTGTTTTTCCGTGTGACAACACGCTCTCAGCCCCTTCTTCCAGGGACACATCTGGTGCAGCTCTTCTCCACCACAGCGAAGAGAGAGTAAATGTAACAAAATCAAGCTAATATAAAAGACACCAGGTTTCTTGGCAACATTTAGACACTTTGTGTCAAATCCAGAGGTTAAATGTAAAAAAAAAATATTATTAAAACAATAGGAAGTTGCAAAAATTCATGTTTTTCTAGAGGGGGAAAAAAAAAACAGTAACTGATATAAAAATAACTTTAAGTGCTAAAAATAAAATGGAAATAATTGAAGCTAAATAGAAAAACTATAAAAATGAAAAAAGCTAAATGATAAACAAACTGAAAAAATTTAATTTAAACAAAAAAGATATTATAAAAACAATGCTAAAATAACACTGATCACTTAAAATTATTTTAATTCAATTAAAATAAATTAATTCATACATATTAAAACCTGCTTGACTGCTTTTATTTAAAAAAAATTCAGCCAAATAAAAACCATGTAGTTCAATCAGGTGTGGTCCAAATAACGTGCGGAAAAATGCATTAAACAATAAATAAAAACAAAACAGTGAATGACATCACAGAAAACCCCTGCAGACCCTCGTGACTGTGTGGCGGTAAAAGAGTTGAGTCGCTTAAAATATCAGATGAATTATGATGTGGCAAGGTAATTTTAAGTTGTGCCACTCACAAAAAAACCCAAAAAAAAAACATATACACACACAGTTTAAGGTTTTTTAAGAAAACCTTTTTTTATTTTACTTAGTTACACCACATTAACTTTTCATGAAAGTAGTATAATTACTACTTTTATTTTCAAAACCATATGATTCCAACATGAAGACACAGGAGCACACAACTTGACATGTTTTTTTTTTTTTTACGTAGATTTTCCAATTCTTTATTCTAGACACTCTTATACGTCATTGCCCCATAGATGATGCATACATTTCGTGTTGATTTGGTCAGCAGCGGATGGTCCACAGAGGGGCAAGGCATTGCTTTCACTCCCCACATGGTCGCTTGACAAATGTTAGCATGAGCCTCTAAAGCGGCATGACAAGCGCATGCTGAGAGCAAAGTCGAGCTAATGTGTTCTGGCATGCGGCTCGCTAATCACACATTTACATATGCAATGACCTACATTTGCATGTCAGCTCGCGCACTGTCCGGCCTGATTAACGATGGGCACCTCCCAGCGCCGAGGAGGCCGGCATAGCGGCGGGAGGAGGCCAGAGGGTGGCGGCTTTTTTGGCAGCCGAAGGGACGCACTGCCAGCCAGGATTAGGCCTGACGCGGCCTGAGCTCCAGACACTTCATTAGAGGTAATCTGTTTAGCAGTGGGCAGTGTATGTAAACTTCACAGGCCATTTGCGGCACCTTTCTGCCCCCTGGCCTCGCCTTCAAAGGGCAGCAGGGGCGCCCTGACTGACAGCTTGTCTCATCCGTGGCTTTGCGCTGTCACACAATTTAGAGCACTGAGCTGACAAGAGATGAACCGCAGCAGCCGAGGATCTCCACGACCGCCGGGGTCACTCGACAGCGGCGTGACGCGGTTTGTACAGATTGCAGCTTGCAGGAGGGGCGGGAGCTCAAAGGGCTTGTTGCCGCTCTGCAGGAAGTGGAGAAAACAAAAATAACACACGGAGGTGGGAGGAAAGGGGCCAAGGATGCCTTGAATTGGGATGCTGAACAACTTTTATGCAACGCTTTCCACTACGATAGTCACATTAGATGGAAATGAAATGTCAGCGAAAATTTGCACTATTTTCAATAGCGTAGCAATGCGTAAAGCATAACTCACACTGAAGTCACTGTCAAAGCAAACAGCTTTCTCTCTCAGCATGGAAAATTGACGTGACCAGCTTGAACATGAGTGAAATCTGCGAGGGGAACTTTTCCATCCTCATACAAAACTCGCAAATTCGTGCCGATTCCTATTAAAATGACTGGATTACACTCACAACATTTAGCTAAACAACAGTTAACAGTCTCACACCTTTCACTTCAAGGATGATGACTATACCAATAACAATAACTATAAAAATGTTAACGAATCGTTCTAACTTAATGAGAATTATCTGACAAAAAAATTCGAATAGACCAATTTCAAGCCGACATCACAGTTACGTCACGCCGCTAACTGGATGCAAAGCAAAGGGAAAACTGAAGGCGGCCAATAAAACCAGAACAGATTCGGCTATAATAAGGGGCTTAAATCATTATTATTATTAAAACATCATCTTGTTGTGTTGTTGGGTGCAAGAATCAATGAAAAATGGATATGATGTATCTGGTATTTTTATTTCTAGAAAATATTTACATCATTCAAATTGCACCTTCACATCTTTACATTGTCATCTGGCTAGGCAGTCGTACCACACAAGTCTTGTACATGACCATTCAGCACATAGTTATAAGCATCTAAAGATTTATATGCCGTCAGTTTCTTTTTCCGCTCTGATTCTCTATCGGGTAACGTTAAGTGTAGAAGCGTTAACACTAATCCTTGTCTGATCGTCCATCCATTGACAGCGTGTTCAGTAGAGGTCAGCCAATCTGGTTCCGTCTGTTAAAATGTACTTTTGCAAATAACAATCGTGGTCCTGGACAGTGAGTGACCTTGCATATTAAGATAAAAGTGGATTTTTTCCCAGTCATTGTTAAAAAACAAGCCAACAAAACTTACGAACAAAGGTTAGGGAAGCGGCCAGAGGTATCGTTCTGCCTCCACCTAAGCTCCGCCCACAAAAAGTCACTATGTTTACTAACTTAGGGCCCTATGATTTCCGCGATCACGGAATCGCGGACGGAATTGCGGAATTGGCCAATTAACGCAGATTCTAGTGTCAACGCAGAATTTCGTAGAATTTTACATATTTGGTTTTAAATTCTGTTTTTGTGTGGGAGAAGAATGTGTCCTTTCGTCGGCAAAAAGTTAATAAACTCGACTCTAAGCCATCAGTGCCGAGCCGAGAAGTTCGCACGTGACTTATGCTGTGTTTCCCACACATAGAGTAATTCGCCGCCACATACTGCGTTTCAATTTTTTAACACTATTTAAAACACGCAGCGTATTCTTTCAGTTATATTTCCCCGCTCTCCCTCTGCCTCTCTCTCACATACACACAACCTGCACACTGCATCTGTCTATGAGGCGCCGGATAGGACAAAAGCGACGCGAACTCCGTGAGCGACACTGGCCGAGAGAGAGACAGAGTGTGACTTTATTTAAACTTATATAAACTAATATAATTTATATTACTGGACAGTTTAAAGCTCATAACCATGTTTTGTTGTTACTTGAAGAGTGCAGTGTTATGTTGCATCATGCAGTATTTGTCCTGAAAAGGCTACTGAGTAAATGTCTATACAATAAATTTAAGGTCATTCCTAATTTATTTGTATTTTTTTTTATACATTTTAATCATTAACTTTAAAAGCACTCTTTTTACGTCTAAAATAACAGTCAAGGGTTAAAAAAAAACAACCTAATTCCCAAAAATTAAAACGGAAAAAACGGAATTTGGGAAAAAATTATTGGATTTCATAGGGCCCTACTAACTGAAAAAGGGGTCTATGGGGAAGATCAGGGAAGTCTTATATTTGTGTACACCACAACTGTAACGATAGCGGCACAGAGAAATGATAGTTGGTATGACTTTCAGAATGATTTTTTCCAGATGATGAACGATATAAACATTGGCACAGAATTCATCCTGCTTTAAAGAGCTCAAGCATTTAAAAACGACAAAACCATAGCATTGATAATAAATATAATGCTATCGTGCATTGGTGTGGATACTAAAATAGTTATTCTTGGTGTGAATGGGCCTTTAGATCCATCGTTTCGGTTAAATAAATAAAAAAGGTCAGGGGAGACGGAAGATGAAGCAAAGCATGCTGGGTAAATGACTCAAAGGGACAACACATCATAAGGAGCAACAGCAAACGATGGAGGGTTGGCCACTGGTGACATGAATGTAAAAAGAGAAATGCAGACATGCAGCCGTATGACAGGGGATGTGAAATAGGAGGAGGAGGAGAATGACGGAGGACGGGGCGGCAGCAGCGTGGAGACTAGGTGTGAGCTGACAGCACAACACTGCCAGCGGCTGCCAAGGAAAGGACAACCGAAGCGCTGAAGAGGTGGTGGAGTAGCAGTGGTGGTGGTAGTGTTGGCTGGTTGGTGGGTGCTGGAGGGGGGGATCTTCGTGGTGGGGGGGGGGGGACAAGGCAGGAGATCCTTTTCGCATCCTTTTCATCAATGTCTCTCTCCAGGCCCGGCCCATGCAATATTTATACCTCCTTCGCCCCACTCCTCTTCAATCTGCTCCAGTATTTAAAGCCCTTGCTTTACAAGAGGATTTTGCTTCGTCGAAAAATCCGCCGTGACGATTAAAATCGGATCTGAAGATCTCGCCCTCCCACTCGCTCTGAGAGCAAATGCGCCATCAAATATGCACGACTCATCCGGCATCTCCTATGCATATCCATCAAACCTTGGGGACTTTAAGATATGATATCATATGCCTGATTGCATTCACAATTCAGCATTTTCGCTTGCTTTTTTTCCAAGGGAATACGAGTTGAACTTGAATGCTTGTTGCGATTTTTGTAAAAGTCATTCTCTTAAGCGGTCACGGTGTAATCCTTAGCCAGACTCACCTTGAGTGTTGCCTTCAAATTCATGCCAAATGTCTCTATGTTTATTGATGACAGCGGCCCTTCAGTTTTCACCCTCAGCTGTACTCAACAATATCAAGGAAGTTTGAGCGATATTGGATTTTTGTGCAATAAGTATGGTTTAAAAAAAGCTGAATTCCACTTTTTATTGGCCAATGTGTTTTTAAATAACTATGTTTGAGAGAGTAGAAGATTGAAGAGTTCACATGATGGAGTTTTAGGACAACATTAGGTCACTTGATGGAGTTTTTCGGTTCCTTGCTACTGTTGCCTTTGGCTTACTCAGCTGGGGATATTCAAATTAATTAACCAATAATACCCTAGATCAGCTCTACCAAACGTGGATGTTTTCCATTAAGAAATGAACATTGTTATTATGTTTTGACTGATAATGTGAAGCAGATTTTACTTGACTTGAGTATAGGAGCTTAGAATGTATGAAATCCCAGAAGCAGCTTGCAACCAAAATTCCCCAAAGTGACCAAGAAGCAGTTTTTATAAACTGATTTAATAAATTTCAGAGTCCTGTAGCCTCTATATATGGGCTGAACCATCCCCCCCCTCAAAAAAAATTTTGGATTCAGCTTTTCCCTTACCTTACGGTATCCCTATAATTTAATATATGTCGACTGGCAGACTTATAGAGATATAAATCAAAGTATACAAGATATTTAATGTTAGTTGAAACAGAGCTCTCATTGTAAGTCTAGCAATTGATTATTCAATAAAAGGTTAAAAAAAAAGAAATGTCTTAATTAAGAGGGACTTTTAACAATAACAAGCTTGGAAAAACAGGACTTTTTTAAAATTCTCTCCAGATAAGGGAAACCCAAAATACATCATCATCATCTACCACTTACTACAATATAAACAAGAATGAGCAGTAACTTACCAATAGTAATATTTCTATACTGTTTTGTTTTTCTTAATTAACATCTGATATTAATAATTACGCAATGCTAAAAAATAGCCTAACGTCGTCATACTCAGACTTTAATCAGAATGTGAGTCTGATACTGCTCCATTGGATAGACCGAATCCCGTACGAAGGACGGCAAAAACATATTTTCGATCGGCAAATGCCTTGATCGCGGTTCTCTGTTCCTCTTTTAAAATGAATATGCCGTCAACATCTTCAATAACAGACACGATGCCTGAATCTACACATCGAAATTCTCCAGCGTTCTTTGTCATAAACGAATTCTACACACGCGCTCTTTGGTGACGTGGATGATGATGTTACTGTTGATCAGCTGTCCATCATCGTATAAAGACCGCACTGACAATTTGATTGGTTAAAACAGCTTTGGTTTGGGCATACTTGCTTCTCAACGGATCAACATAGCTGCCAACTCTCACGCATTGGCCGTGAGACACCCGCATTTGATTGGTTTCACACGCTCACACGCCACACCCCCGATTTCTCACGCTGAAGTGTCAACCCTCCCGTTTTTCCGGGTTTCTCACGTATTTTAGCTCTTTTACTGTCTTCCCATGTTAGTATTTCCCATAAAATATCTCGTATTTTTACACTCTGATTGTGTGAGACGTACAAGCTCAGACAGATTCGGCTTGAAGTCGATCGTCCTCGGATGCGGTTCCGTGCGCGCTGTAACAAAATAGCTTTGCACACAGCTCTAAGTGAGGTCTTGCCGGTCTTGCGCACCCAACGCGTCATTTTTAACGCGCTTGTGCAGACGCGTCGAGTATAAACAAGGCTTTACTCCATGTCAGCGCGCGCAGAGACCTCAAGGTGCAGAGACCTCTCCCAATCATCTCCAGCAGAAGCAGCCTCCCCGTTTCCCTCGTAAGCTGATCTTAGTATTTAAACATTCTCTATGGTATTTTTTTTTAATGACACAGTGCTCTTTCTCACACATATGTGGGCTAGTTCTAAACTCTTTAGACTTTTTGATTAGTGAATCGTGAGAAAAAATGGTTCCTGGAAAATGGATGGTTCCTGGGAAATCTCCCTTTGATGTTTGATGTTTGATGCACTGTGCACTTTATTATGCTGGTTGCTACTGTGTGCAATAGTGTAATTATTTAATTTATGCTTAAATATTAATTTTCAGCACTGAACTTTTTTTGTTCTACTTCATGTTTTTAATATTTTTTAAATTGTTTATCTACTTGTTCTTGTTCTACCTCACATGTTTTTACTATTTGTTAAATATTAATTTTTGAAGTTAGTTAAATGTTACTTTTATTAAATTGAGACCTGTAACATTTGTTAACATCATGTTATTTTTAAGATGTAAATTGAGGGAGCAAAATGTATCGGCTCCAAATATCGGCTCAAGAAAATCGGCAGCCTGTATCGGTCATCGGCTAAGGCTGATGGGAAAAAAATCGGTATCGGCACTAAAAAATCCATATCGGTCGATCCTTAGTTTTTACATTGACCAAATGACCAAAAACGGAATGTATGTGACAAGGCACATTTTACTTTTAAAACTTCTAATCTAATCTTAATCTTCTAAACATCCACTTAGTGAGAATAACTGATTTACATGCAAAAGAAAGATACTGCCCATGTAAAAAATGAATAAATAAATAAATAAATGAGGGGTGATATCTGATGTTCAGAAAGCTTGCATTGGCAGTCATTAACAAGCGAACAAACATTAAGACAACAATAATGGTGTCATATGATTGGAGGAAATTAGTCTGGGCGTGTGAAAAGGAAGTATGACAAAAAAGAGATTAAGAGGGGAGAACGAGGAAGAGAGCGAGAGAGCAAAAGACTGCTAAAAGCAGCAGATTTCCAACACCTCTGTCTCTGGCATTGGAAACACATGATGGCTCCTGTGTGCAGGAAACGTTGCTTGTGCAGAGAGCAGAATCTCATTATCACCTCTCACCCACAGCACAGCAGAGAGACAGCCGGAGCAGACCGCCGCCTGTCTCTCTGCGGGTGGATTGACAGACACGGGGAGATTTGAAGGGGGCAGATGTGGATGTGGAAGAGGGCGACAGGCTTGTGCTACATGCTGCTAAGCAAGCAGGTGTTGAGTCAGGATGGTAGACGCCGAGAAAAAAACAACAAAAAAAAAACAACTCAAGTAGCTTTGTAGAACCGCTATATAATGAGATTACAAAAGAAAGTTTGGCTAGACTGTATGTGTGTTTGTTTTTATGTGTGAGAGAACACAAACCTGTGGCTGAAACACTGGCACCGGTGGCTGCTGGCCTTGTGATTGGGCGTCCATCGTGACAGCAGCAGTCCCTTGCACCCCTGTGAAAAAACAAAGAAACTAAATAAGATGCATCAACCGTTCCGGCACGGCTACAGGAACAAACCCTCCCTCCATGTAATAATCTCCAGTGAAGGTGGACGTGCGAATCTGGTAATAGAATTAGGGTTCGGAGAAGCGCTCCTGACAATCACGAGCTTCCGCGAGAACGGCTGGCCTGCGTCACCTCGCACGAGGAACCCGATCCGATGAGAACACAACACCCATTGTGTTAATGAGAAATGTCAAAGAGCCACGCTACCCGAGACCCTTCAAACTGACTTGCAAATATCAATTGTTAAATCAAGTGTTAAAACTTGAAACCCATGACTTGCAAAAATCAATTGTTAAATCAAATGTTAAAACCCATTCGTAGAGTGCCAAAGGAAATTTTAAAAAAAGACACAAAAAGATGTAATCAAATACAGTGGTCAAAACACTATAGACCCACAATTACAGTTTAAAACGAGAATATGTACTAAGGACCAGGTCCACCTCTGAAACTCAATAGTATTATTAGTTACATTATATTTAAATCCTTCAATTAGTATACCGATAAATAATAATATGGCTTATTCTCTATTCTTCTGAAATCACATTTCTAGTAGATTAAGCGGAGCTTGTAGTTTTTGCACAGGGAACACACGAGTAATCAAATAACCATATTAGAAAAAAATATCTAAATTATTAAATCAAAGACTAAATGTTGTAATTATTTGAAATTTAAACTAAATTATCCAATTAAGTCAACTTTACTGAAGCGCAAGACAAAATATACGTTTGCCCATGCCATTGGATTCCATCGTAGGGCCATTTTTAAAATGGTTTTACACTACAAAACCAAAATATATTTGGTTTTAAACTCTTCTTTTTTACGTTTTGTTTAGAGTTAAAACCCCAAGTCTTTATTTTGGTGTGAAAACTGAAGGTAGATCTTCGAATTCAGCGTGTAGGCTTGCAACAGTTTCAACCCTGCCCATTAAAAATGTTTGAATTGCGAGCGTAAATAAACATTTAAAGATAACTATTTCCATGTAGATAAACCAACCAGGTTTCTTGAAGACATTTTCCTGTTATCACTGTAAAGCTGTATTGTGTTGAGCGCAATTATAAATAAAGGTGACTTAACCAAGTTAGCTACCTAACAGGAATTAGTTTTCAAATATTTTGGTGGTCCAAGCAGTGCAAAATGTGTTCAAAATATTCCATTTTAATTCAGAAACAGATATCCTCTAGATATCCATTTTAGGACATAATAAAACAAAACAACAACATACAGGTTAACCACAAATGTCAACCCATAAATTCCTTCATTATTTTTAGACACAAAAACCAAACCTTGAATAACGACCGGCCATAAAGAACGTACTATCGGCTTGAGTCTCCTGCTCCTTGAAAGCCTACAGAGACATTAATGTGAGCACAATAAAGCGTATGTGCAAGTAAGAAACAGTGAAGACGAGTTGCCTTTGCAGAGCCGACGATGAGAAGGAATAAATTAGGCCTGAGCTCTCGTCGGTGACAGAGAGCAAATACAAAAGATGGCTGCGCGCTTTTCTTTACATCAAGCCGGGAGATGGGCCTGTGCGTGCAGCAGCCATCAAAATTTTTAATGATTGCTCGGTTGTCACTTCACTGCGGCGTGCAGCTCGGGTGAGCTCGTCGTGTCCTCACTCTACTGAAGGAATACGAGCGAGGGGTTACAAAAAAAAAGGAAACACTCCTTTCATAGAAAGGCCATTTACATGTCGCTCACCGCGGTGAACGTCCGTCTCCGCGCGTTGTCAGGGCTGAGTGGATCGAGGAGCTCGAGCCAATTAAAATACCTCATGCCGGTGAACGGAGAAACGGAGCTGAAGCTGTCACCATGGCAAAATAAAATCAGCCCGGTTTGTTGAAGGTTAATAACACTAATTAAGCACCAACCCCGCGTCGGAGATTTGAGTGGCAGCGCGAGCAGGACAGGGTTTGTTGCCACCGAAGATTTGTTTCTGTTAGCCATTTTTGCAGTTTAGCTAAATTTGTCTCCACATTAAGGATTGTAGAAACTGCTTGCGTGACGCATTTTCTCTGGGGAAGAAACAAGTCGTTAAAGCCAAATATTTAAACAGCCTCTCTACGAGTATGTAATTAGTACTGGAAGAGCACGTTTTTAAATTAATGAAACACACCCGAGCTCCCAAAAAAGGGTACTTATGTACACTAAGGTGAATAAATCTGGACACTAATTGGCAGTTTGAGACAGTCGTCAATGTATCAAACTGATAATACATTGTATTATCTTCCTAATATTATTATTATTATTATTTTACTATTTTACGCAATTCCATTGATCAGAATGACAAATCAAAATGCAAACACATAGCCACAGGTGAGTTTTAAAGGGATACTCCACTTTTTTTTTGGAAATAGGCTCATTTTACAACTCCCCCAGAGTTAAACAGTTGGGTTTTACCATTTTAGAGTCCATTCAGCCGATTTTCTGGTCCCATTGACTTCCATTGTAGGAAAAAAATATATACTATGGAAGTCAATGGGACCAGAAAGCGTCTGGTTACTGATATTCTTCTAAATATCAGTATATCAGCTGAAAGTATTAGAAAACGGTAAAACCCAACTGGTTAACGTGTAAAATGAGCCTATTTCCAAAAAAAGCGGAACATCCCTTTAAAGCGAACATGAAATGCTGTTTGTAAACGTGACCGATCGGATGGAAGTTCAAAGGGACGGGTGTAAGTGTATATAATTTTGCCCCTTTGGTACAGAGTTTGCTGACATTTGCCAGTGTCAGCACAGGATGGGTTGCTCTCATTGTTGGTTAGCTCTACTTCAGTTTCAAGCAGTTCAGATTGAGGATGGCAGCATAGCTTCTCTGATTGACCTATTCCGTGTCAAAATGACTCCAGGGCATCAGCGGTTTCCATCTGCAGCCCTTTGCCAACACCCTCATTAACAGAATCAATTAAAAACGCCACATGATATCAGCACAAAAGCACCCAAACAAGAATGATTACAGCAGTCGCATGCTCTGAAGATGACTATATGCAACACATTTCGACTGTCTAGAGAAACATTAATCTGCGCTTTTTCCACTGGCTATTTATGGTGTCCACGTGGTTTACAGCTGCATTGCTTGTAAAATTAACATACTGAAAAGAGGCCGCGGCAACAACTAAGAAGCTATACATAGCTTAGCATGATAAAAAGGGCCATCACGTGCCATGATGACAGCAACCTACTTGAAATAGAGGCCTGGGAGCTGACTAACAACGTAAGCGGCAGTTTTTCTGCATGGTTGCATAGAAAGACTTCACATTTTGATCCGTTTCTCACTCAAATTTTTATTAATAATGTGATTATTTCCAATGATCAGAGTAAGGACTTATCACATTAAGATGTTTACATGACACGAGCAAACCTCTTCACTCCAGTTTACATGCGATTTTCATTATTCGCTAAAAAGAGTGGGGTTTTTTTTAGCCTGGATGCCAGCCTGAACCCCGTCCACAACATTTTCTGGTTCGGTCTGGACTCGATCCATTTAGGAGTAATTATGATCTGTTCAGAAATCGTCGGGCCAATCAAATTGCCAGGGCGGGCTTTATACGATGATGGACAGATGATCTGCAGTTACGTAATCAAAGAGTGCATGGGTTGAACTGGTTTCCCTCAAAGATGACTCCAGCTGGAGAATTGAGATGTAAAGATTACGCTATCACATCTGTTGTAAAAGAAATCAACAGCGCATGCATTTTAAAAGACGAACAGAGAACTGCAATGAAGGCATTTGTTGATCAGAAAGATGTGTTTGCCGATTGAAAACCCTGCGGTCGTTGCGGTTTCTCCTTTGGTCACACACATGGAGGACCAAGTAAAAGAAGCAACACTCATTTTACTACTTCTTCCAGCATGCGTGCAGTCGAGTTCTGTTCACAACTATGCATAGCTCAACATTCGTCACTTACTGCATTGCTCTGATTGGTTTTAGGTCTATCCAATTAAGAGCAGAGGTTCTTTTTTTTTCTGGTTCGGTTAAGACACACCTCACAATCAAAGCCCTATGGAGCAGTATCAAGACTATCAGAGTATAATGAAGTTAGGCTAGTTATTTTCACCCCCATTAAACAAATGAACAAGTATGTTCCCAGCCACTATTTTAATCATATTACATTAAATGCAAAACCCATTTCTATGGACCAGTGTTTCTCAAACTTTTTCAGCCCAAGGACCACTTTATCTTCCATTTTTTTCTGAGGACCACCTAACAAAATCCCACTCTAACACGCCCAATAGTATCTTTATAACGATCGCGTTAGTTGAGCTTTTAGTTTCTTTTTCAGTTCAGAGAATCAGATCTGTTGGATTTACAACGTCAATTCCTCCACTTCTCACGAAATACATGATAGTAAGTGGCTGGTGAACTGGGAGAAGAATAGGGTCAAATGTAAAGCTACTTACACAATGTGTATCTGATATGAATAAAACGTGTTGTTGTCTTATTATAACTGAAAAGATTATTGCCGCTTCCATAGACATCAGTGTGTATTTTACAAACTCAAAATCATTGTTTTGCTAGTACTTATGTATATTTAAATGTCTGAAACCTAAAATAAACATTGAAAACACTCAATAGTTGTGTTATATGACAGCTCTGAGTGCGTCCGTCTCTGGCTTAGCGCCAGCCAGCGCGCGAGAGCAAGTTTGAATTTAGCAGTTGCTGACGTGAAGCACTGAACGTTCTAATCACACCGGTGTGATCGTACGCTCCAGGGATCAGCCAAGAAGACTGATCACACTGGTACGTGCGAAAAAGTGACGATTTTGTAAACACTTGCCTAGTTTAGGTCATCTTTTCGCGGACCACTAGGGGGCGATGGCGGACCACACTTTGAGAATTACTGCTATGGACGTATTGGAAAGTTATTCGCAATGCTGTTGTAACTAGGTTTGCCAAAACTGCATTGCTTTCTTTGCATGTCTGGATTAAGGTATGGAGTAGACA